TAAGGGTATGCAACATTAAATATCCTAGTACCACGGTTTTTAAGATCCTATTCCGTATGCACACATCAACTAAAAGTTATTTCTGACCATTGGATTCACAGACTGCAACAGAGTGTCTCCCTATTAACTAAAAATTTACCCATACAAACATTCACTCTGCCACTGTAAAAAAAAATGAATGCTATTTCTAAGAAGTTTCGTTAAGAGATGGCTGCTGGCTAACTACCCGGCTACTCAGCTTTCTCATTCGACTACCGATACTTTGTATTTCTCCCAACTCCCAACCAATAGAAAATTAGCACATTTTAGGTGCCTACTTTTGTAATCTACTTCATGGCTGGTGAGAACATCAAATCTCTGGGGGAGAACCAGCCTTACCCATTCAACTCTCTCTGCAAGAAATTGCTCACACCATTTAATGGCAAGAATATTTTTTTTTCAATGATATCAAGTGTGAATGAAAACTACCGTACATCTCACTAACGGCAAGATAGTGTCTCCTTCTCACTCTGGTCTTTAAATCCAGTAATATGAGAGTATAAGAGAATACTGCAATGTACGCATAAGAGCAGTATAGTGATCGTAATGATCAATGCATAGCAGGGGTCAATGTGATCCAGTATTGCCTGAGTACACACTTTCTGGTATTCTCATGATACCCTTACTATTATACACTTTTTTCCTGCTTATAGTAATAATTTAATGAGAGATAACTTCTCTAACTGTTAGCAAAAATGTTTTGCACGACGCTTTTCATGTTGCATTCACTGACAGAATAGTTAATACATACACTAGATTAGCAAAAATAAAATGGTGAATCTCTCACAGCACACTATCATCCATCTTGCTAACTGACTGTCAGAATATTCTCAGAACCACTGTAAGTAATTCTTACACTGTACTGTATAATTAATATCTGATGATGTATCATTTCCAAATCAATTCAACCATGTGATCCAGCTAGAAAACATTTTCTTTTGTTTTTTCTTTTGAAGGCTAATAAGATAGTGGAGCAGTTATATCAGTTTATTTCTGCGTATGATTTAGAAGCGTTAAGACAGTATTGGAAACACTTGAATCGAAGAATACTTACAAGGTTAGAGTATGTACATAATACAATAATAAGAAAATTAGAAGTCAGTTTAATGAGGTAAGTCATTGCACAGTATGTGTTTCTTGTATCACATGTGATAGTTCACCAGGAAATGTACCATCGACGACCTGGCTTATTAACATGCAAGTATTTATATTAGTCAAAGGTTAATTTACACTTTTTGCTGCACAAGTGAAGTATGATGTTTTTTCATAGATGAGTCATGTGAATATATAGGTATATTTGTCACTGTAGTCAGGTCGCTGCAGACATCCCCAACTAGAGTAGCAGCCCACTTATCCAATAATGATTATCTGAGATATTACTTCTTCACATAATAACATCAATTGGACAAGCTTAAACACAAGAACCAGTGGACATTGACCATCGGTCCCTCAAAGTTGTACCCATTGGTGAATGGATTCAGTAACTTTGGCCTCCAAATTTAGTTAGATAGGAATTTGAACTTGGGTCTACCGGTCATGTGTCAAATGCAACAACTACTATGCAATTAGTGATCAGTTAAATGCTACTTTAATTTCCATTTCAATGTAAATTGTTTATGACATCACATCCCAAATATCTAGATGAATTCTCTGAGAAACACTCCCCCTCCAATTCTCATTCTCCTGTATAAGACTATGTTTAGATGAAATATACCAGTAAAATCTGTATTAGAATCCTCATCCCTAATAGAAGCTGCGTCCATTCTTTTTGACTAATTGAGAAATGCTTTAATAGAAGTCACATTCCTTCTGTTGCATTGTGACATTTTAATAGATGCCATGGCTTTTAATACAGATTTTAAGTAAGAGTTAATGAAATCTCATGAGAGATATATATGTATGCATATATGTCTATATTTTTAGGTGTTTTATAGAAACAACAGGAGAAAATTCCATAAAATTTCTTTGACATTTTTTGTATGACTTCTAAATTCTGTAGAAAAATGCTTATAAAAGTCTGAAGAAAGTCTATGAGAAATTCTATAGAACTGGAATCTCAAGAGATATGTACACAATACTTGACTTACTGTTCACAATGGTGGATGCCACCACTACTTGGGTGTAATATTGATATCCAGTAAAAGGAAATCTCAACATTAATTTTCTAACCCAAAGTGGTATTTTCGTCTTAGGTTATATGTGGTACATGCCATTCAGAATGGAAAACATGACAAAGTTAATGAATTTTTTGAGAAATTGGCCCCAGAGCTACAGGGACAGTCTGAATGGAAGGAATGGTTTGGTAAGTAAGTTTGTCATTGAGACAAGTATTCATTTAATTTAGTCCTGACACTCATTTCTTGGTGCTACAGTTTCCTGGGATTTGTATTAGTTTTGCTATTTAGTTTCATTGCTGAGTCACGGAGTACATGGGACTAACCAAAACTCACCAGATTAGAATCTGGCTAAACCTGGAGTGTGATCCATTCAATCTTCTCAGTCTAGTGTCTTATGGGAAGGACTAAACATCCCAGACTAGTCAGTCAACCCTGCAGAATGACTCTGTTATTGAAATACCTCAGATCAATCTCTGGCCATCCTTGGGTGCACTCCCTCTCTCCGCTTCAAGGTTGAAGAAAATACAAAGTAACATTAAAGCTACAGTATTCTAAATTACCGGTATACCATTTTCAATGATTTTACCAAACAAAGCATACCATACTTTACAATTCACTGGTGTATAGGGGGTCAACATAACAATGCTCTCAGCTCAGTTATAAATCCAATAACCAATTTGGTTGCTGTACAAATCCATAAACTGCATGTTGTATAATACACATTCACTTTACTGTTGTTTTTAATCAGCCAATTTAATTCACTGTCACTGTTTGACCATAAACAAATGGAATATGTATATTATCGTGTGGTTTTCTTTTATTACAGTTCTTCCATTTCTCCGTAATGCTGAACAGAATCCTCTATTTGAGATGTATTTTACAAAAATGTGGCAAGATACTTTAATTATATCACTACAGAATTTCTTCAGTATATTATTCCAGTCCATGCATATCCTTTGGAATAACTGATTTGCATACTGATTTGCATATTTCTGCTGATTTACATAGTCTGTGATTTACATACTGTCACTGACTTCTATACATATCGTAATTTGCATTCTGATTTGCATATTTCTGCTGATTTACATACTGTCACTGACTTGTTAACCTATTTTAATTTGCATACTAATTTGCACATTTCTGTTGATATACATACTGACCCTTTTGTACATATGTTAATTTTCATTTTGCCATTGATTTGCATATTGACATTGATTTGCATATCTGCTGATTTGCATATCTGCTGATTTGCATATTGACATTGATTTGCATATCTGCTGATTTGCATATTGACATTGATTTGCATATTTGCTAATTTGCATATTGGCATTGATTTGCATATATACTGGTTTGCATATTGACATTGATTGCATATCTGCTGATTTGCATATTGACATTGATTTGCATACCTGCTGATTTGCATATTGACATTAATTTGCATATCTGCTGATTTGCATATTGACATTGATTTGTATAATGACATTGATTTGCATATCTGCTGATTTGCATATTGACATTGATTTGCATATCTGCTGATTTGCATATTGACATTGATTTGCATATTTGCTAATTTGCATATTGGCATTGATTTGCATATATACTGGTTTGCATATTGACATTGATTGCATATCTGCTGATTTGCATATTGACATTGATTTGCATACCTGCTGATTTGCATATTGACATTAATTTGCATATCTGCTGATTTGCATATTGACATTGATTTGTATAATGACATTGATTTGCATATCTGCTGATTTGCATATTGACATTGATTTGCATATCTGCTGATTTGCATATTGACATTGATTTGCATATCTGCTGATTTGCATATTGACATTGATTTTCATATCTGCTGATTTGCATATTAACATTGATTGCATATCTGCTGATTTGCATATTGACATTGATTTGCATACCTGCTGATTTGCATATTGACATTGATTTGCATATCTGCTGATTTGCATATTGACATTGATTTGCATCTCTACTGGTTTGCATATAAACACTGATTGCATATCTGCTGATTTCCATATTGACATTGATTTTCATATCTGCTGTTTTACATATTAACATTGATCGCATATCTGCTGATTTGCATATTAACATTGATTTGCAAATCTGCTGATTTTGATAGTGACATTGATTTGCATATCTCCTGATTTACCTATTGTCATTACTTTGCTGTACATATATCTTTTATTTATTCCTTAACATTTCCACCTCTTCCAATATTGTTAAGTTTCGATGAGGAGTATTTAAGGATGAACAAATTAGAAAAAGAAAATAAATTACTGAAACAACAAGTAAGTAAACTGAAATGAGCTGATAAATTTATGTGTCAGTTGTATTTATGACTATTTAGTATGAAATATCACTGAGAATAATTTCACACTAGCGTGTCAATCTGTGTATACTCCAATATAAAAGCCAATTGTGTGACTGAATGATAACATAGTGCGATGACATTAACTCATAATAACTTACCTAACTTTTAAATTTCACAAATTAACTGACTTGCAAAATTCATGAAAGTTTGTCTTGTGAAATGTATCTCATAATAAAGTGCTATTCAATTTTTACATAATTAGATATCATTACATGCTATAGAAACTAATGGAGGACTTATTGCTATAGAAACTAATGGAGGACTTATTGCTATAGAAACTAATGGAGGACTTATTGCTATAGAAACAGATGGAGTACATAATTAAAACAAAACAACATGGATTCTATTCGGTCATCTTGAATTGGATCTACAAACAAATTAACAATGTTCTCATGTATATATCTATATGCATTGTCATTGTATCAATTTTGTTTAAAATTATTCAAATCATCTCTGAGAAACAGTTACAGTCAAGTATTTCTTTTCAATGTTTAAAGTGGTTGCCATCTGGTTGTCTGTTTATATGTTTTGCCTTCTTTGGATAGTTTGAAAAAATGAATCTAGACGCATGCATATTTACACAGAACCAAGATTAACAGGGAATAACATATGTTTGTATATGTTTG